TGGCCCTGTCCCGGGGCCCTCCCCCCCCCCCCCCCCCCGACCGGCCGGGTGCCTTGGTGCCCTTCCCTGCCCCAGAGGCCGTGTCTCGGCCTCACCTGACAAGGGGTGGCGGGGGCAGAAGCAGTGTCACCCCGCAGCGCCCGTTGCTGGTGGCCTCCAGAAATCCCGGCATGCTGGGAGCATCCCGCTCTGCTCCTGCTTTCCTAACGCGCCTTGTCCAAAGAGTCTCTCTAGTGAAAACCTGAATATCAGACTATATCAGTTGTGCGTGGGAGAGCTCTCAGAAGGAGAACTGGCGTGGTGTCCTGGGGCCACCTTCCCCCCTGCCGGCTAGGCTTCCTTGGGACGCGCGGTCGCGGCTAGGCCGTGGTGGAGCGCGGCTGGGGAGCAGCCGCTGCCCTCTCGCTCGCTCGCTCCCGGCCTGCTGGGAAACCCGCAGCAGCCTCCTGGGCGGAAGAAAGCTCCAGAGGGAAACGAAGTGGGTCTGCAAATGGCAATGAAGTAGGTGGTAACGTGATAAATAACAGTGAGTTTAAATGATGGCATCCTGAAATAAATTGACACACCTAATTCTAATCTTTCCTTTAGCTTCTCAAACTATGCTCTGCCTCTTAGGTGTGTAATTGTGATTCTTAATACTTGCCTGCTACTGATCTGCTTCATCCTGTTCTTTGTAGCTCTGAGTCACCCCAGGTCAAAACTGATGAACAGAATCACGTTTACTCAGTGCATTGAGTCTGAGTAAGCCGAATGTCGCTTTCGAGTTGTGTGCCTATATACAACAGCTGCTTGTACCCAAAACAGTTCACTGGTATGTGCTTATTAAACTACACATACACAGGAGAGAGAGAGAATTCAGGGTTACATGTTGCATTTGGATGTTATGAGACCTTTGTGAATAGAAGTGTAAGGAATAATACATCACATGGTGCTTGGCAATGTTAGAATTAATGTAGTGCATTTATTTTTCCTGTAAACACCAAGTTACTGTACTAATCCCAGTTTTAAGCCTCCCTTCATATAATAATGAAAAAATAGCTTTATGATAAAAGATAAACTTGGAAGTACTGAGATCGTGAAACGCTCCTATTATCTCCTTCTGTGAGATGTGATTCTTGCTTTTTTTTACTATTTGCCTGTTAATTAAAATATGATAGTTAACTGGTTTGTACAATGTAATCACTGTTGTTGAACTGTATAAAGAACACTTAGTAGAACAGTTTTATTTTGTTATTAAAACAAAAGAAACTTTGTTGCCATTTAGAAAATTAAAGTCATTGTTGCTGCCTAAACTTTGCTCATATTTTGCATTTATAACCTAAATTTGCTAATAGAGTATTGAAAGCAGCCATTCTATTTGTAGCTTGCATGTGGTACTTAATTAATTTTGATTCTTGAGGACAGATAACACGAAGTCCAATAGTAGTGAGTTGCTAGAATAACTTTCTAGAATAGCAAGGTGGCATTTTTTTTTTTCAAACTCTGATATTCTACGAAGATGATGCTCATTTGAGTATGAACTTTTCAGCAGTAACTGAGGTAAAGGAGGTTTGTTTGCTCTTGAGATGACCCATCCAAAGATCTTCCCCATAAGTGAACAATACAGTTAATGAAAAGAAGACAGTAAAAGAAAAGTGATATCTGCAATCTGGTCAACATTTAGAATATGCTAACAAAACTCTGAATTCCAGAATTTGAAGATTTTAGCTAATTCCTGCTAATAAAATTCTAGATTCCAAAACTGGAATATTTTAGGTAATTTCTGTGAAAACATGGGCTTTCTAAGTTGTATCAGCTTAGGAAAGTTATTACACAGGCTTTTTTCATAGAGCGTGGAAAAGATGTAGCCTGCTGCACTGCATCACTTGCAGTGAGAGTAGTCCATTTTTTAAAAGAGAGTCAATAGGCTCCCAAAGGTAGCCTCGGACAAACCTAGGAGAGCAGGGAGTATTCATGGTCTGCCCGTTCATGAGTTAAATCTTAAAAAAGGCCAAACCTCCAGGAGGAGTCTGGGTGTTAGATAGGATGTGGAAGCCATTTCTGAGCAGACCTCCCTCCTATGTAAACTCAGTAGTAATACTCTCTGCAACCAATTCCACGTATTATGTACCCTGAAAACAATTATTTTCTTTTACAAAATTTAAACACATTTCAACTTCCTTCTGTCCTTGCTCCTTATCGTGAGTGAAATGTTGCCTTTTTAACCACTGATTTCCCTCTTGTGTCAACATTGTATACTGCCATTTACTCTTAATCTAGAAAATTTAGATGTAGATTTTTTTTTTAATTAGACTCCTAGTCAGCTAGTATACTGGTTTTTAGTAAGAGGGAACAGGAACCAGACACATGAAAAACCGATCTATTCAATAGTATTTTGTTTTTATCAGTCAATTTTTTTATCCCAGTCTTCACATACCATAATGCTCTTTCTTCTTTAGAGAACAGATATTCTTATTGACCAATTCATAATAAACAATGGCCAAATCCTTTTGCAAGGTAATCTTCAAATTTAATCTAAAATACAGATAGAAACAGATAGTTCAAATAATTTGTTTCAGTACCGCTTACTTAGTTTTCAATACTGAATCTCTAGTTATTAGATACTGCAGAGTTGTATAGCTCTGTTAGTTTCTTCTACAGTAAGCTGTCAGCCTGCTCTGATTTTCAGTAATGCAAATAATGCATCCTCTATCACTTATTATCAGATGAAATGTACGCTTTGTGACACAACATGTTTACATGTCACCAACTAATTTTGTTTCTAGCGCAAATCTTGGGAAAACCAGTGTTAAGCTGCTCTGCTCTCCCCTCCCCTTGCCTTGTTACTTCTGTAGTTTCTCATCTGTAATTATTTAGTCTTCAGTTTTGTAGTCACAGAGAGCTCGTCAGCATCTTTTTCGAAAGCCAGTTATATTTTCTTCCTTTTCGATCATACTGAAAGGACCATGGCTTTTCTGTTAACCATTCAGTTCTGTAAAATCTTCTCTTTGGTGGGATAACATCAGTTCCACAGGGAGAGAGGAAGAAACCAGCTCTTTGCGGCCTGCTCCCTGCTTCTACCCTTTGGCAGAACATTAAAATGTCTGCTTTTCTATGTTCTTTGCGTTTTGTTCAGAACATCCCCTGCCATGCCCATTTTCTAGTGCTTCACGCTACCATGAAAATCCTCCTTTTCTCATTGTGCTGAGCTGCCAGCCCCGCTTGTTTTCATTTGAAAAACTACCCAATCTGCAGAATAGAAAAGCACCTAGTGCATCACGATCTTCAGTGCTGCCCCAGAGGCAGAGAGAGCAGCTACTCACGTTTAGCTCAATGTGCCTGCGTGCCCAAGTGGCTCTGCAGCTCCAGCGCTGAACTGCTCCACAACAGCAGGGTTGCTGCAGCTCTGCTATATCAACTGGGAGGACTTTAAGCTCCTTAGTTAAAAATTACGAGTTTTATAGAAGCTGGCTTCAGAACTATTATTTAAAAAAAAGGAGTGAGTGAGAAAGAAAAGCAACCTTACATGTGAAAGTGTGCAGCAGTGACTGATGTAAGAAAAAGCCCAGAAGATAATAAGAATGAAACAAAGACATAGTAATGTTTAATTTTATTTGATAGAAAGTTGCTTCAAAAATATGATTAACTATATACATTCATATATGCTATACATACAGGTACATATACAAAATATACATAATGGCAAACATCCTTCTGTTACATTTCATGGATGATAGTGAACAACATGAAATAGAACTTGTGTCATGTTGTCATATCTGCTTTCATCCTAATCCTATCTACAAGGAATTTATAGACATGAGAGATGAAAAAGGCTAACAGATCACTTAATCCATACCCCTGCCCATGCAAAAGTCTTCTCTATAGTCCATTGATTGAACAAAATTAAGGCTTGCAGCACCTCCCTCTCTCAAGGTATCCAGCTGCTAACCTCGTCCTCAGAATGTTTTCCTGACATTCACCCCAAAGCTACTTCTAATTTATTTCTATAATTCAGAGATGTCTCTCCTCAAATCAAGCTAAATTTCTTCATTTTTGTGGTTTTTCTCATCTTCATTCCTTAGTTGCTTGTTTGCCAAGTAAAAAATATATTTAACTGTTGTTAGTACTCTCTCTTCTAGGAGAAATACACTCAAGCTTGAAAGCCATGGTCTCTACTTCCCATGCTACAAGCGCACTGTAAACCTGGAATCAGTCAGACTACAAGCAACAGTGGAGAAAAAGGTACCTGTCCTCTTCGTTCCAGGCAGTTATAGGATGTGCCAGTTGCCCGACTGAGACAAGTGCTGTCAGGTCTCCAAAGGAACTGGCATGTTGCTGAGGGGTTTCTGGTACCAACCCCATTAGGACCACCCTACCTACCCACCCACTCCCTAACCAAAAAGTAGCATTCCAAAACCTAGACATAGGGAGTAGGAGCTGGCATCTTTGTCCTTTTCTAGTCGCTTCCTAAAGACTGTCCTCCATTTCGCGACTGAAGGGACCAGACACTCTCAGGTGTGGAGCTGATGTTCAGGAAGGAAGAGATAAACCGGAGTACCGGCAGCAAAAGGCCAGTGAGAGAAGCCATGGCCTCCCCAACTAAACAGGCTATTCTGAAGCACCTTTCCCTAAGCTAAGAGAGAACATGGCTTCTTTCATTGACTTTTCAACTTTTAGGGCTTAAAAATGAGGTGTTTCTTTCTTGGGAAAGAAACATCTTGGGAGCTGCACTTTCATTGCCCTGAAAGTATTTTCTTCTTCCTGGTTTAACAGGATCATTAAATACCTGTTTTATTCCTTCTCTGCTCATGTGGTTCCTTGATTTCTAACCCTGTGCTGGTCACAGCTTTTTTCATTTCTCTTGGAAAGTTTTCTGCCCTATTTTCATACCTCTGTATCTTTTTTGTAGTAATATGGAATAACTTTCTGTGATCTGTAAAGTGGTTTTCCATCAGCTACCAAGGTGAATGCAAAGGGATTAAATTTCCTCTTATTCTTTATTTTGGTATTACTGTAAATAATGTGCTGTTTGTCAAACTAAGGGGAACTCTTCTTGTGTTCTAAGGAACAAGTTTATATTTTTTGAATTACAGCATAACATGCACATATTTAGTAATATCTTAAAGCCAAAGAAATTAATATGCCTTCATTTTTTTCTATGCTGTGGGATTTTCATAAGTTTGAGAAAATGGTTCCTAGGCTTCTATTCTGCTTGCACTATCTTTGTCCACTGATGCTAGGCCCATTAAATATTACTTCTATTGAATTAACTTTATACTATTCCTTAATCTCCACAGGGAGCTTGAACGGCTATGAAATACTCTCTGTTATTCCTTGTCTGAATTCCTGTGATCCTGTCTGCAGCCCTGGTTGGGAGAGGGTGCTGGTGAACTTCTCAAGGGATGAGACTCTATGCTGGAAGAAGTAGGGCTGAAACACTCCTGCGGCCCTCGGGTGATGGGAGGTGAGGGAGTCGAACAGCTGTGGCTTTGCTGAATTTGTCCAGTAGCAGCAGCTGGTGAATCATAATCCTGCTGGTCTTGTGTGCTGGGAGGAAGAGCCGAAGGCATGACGCCCTGAGGAGCAGCTGTTGGACCACTGTTGAGACAATTTATAACTAAGCTTGGGGTATTAACAGTAGACACGCAATCCCTAATGTTCTTAGTTTCTGAGCAGCCAAGTTAATTAAGCTATTTAACTAGTTTCCTACAGTCACGTGTTCTCTTTTTATCTCACCTCAATCTGATGGATCTGAGATGATGATTTGTCTATCTCGTTGGATTTGACTCCAAATTCCTTCTTTTGAATTGTAATAGTTTTCTGGGAAAGGGGGAGGAGGTTGGGCAGGGAAGGAGGAGCAGCAAGGGAGGAGTTTGTAACTGTGGTATCATCAGTTTGAATTTGTTAGTAATTTGTGTGTAAGTTGGTACTAAGATCCTGCATAACATGATTTTCTCTTGACTTCTCTGTACTTCACCTTTGGGAGGCGAACTGAAGGAACTGTGATATTGTGAGCACTTCTAAATTTTTTTTATTTTCTTGCAAAGAAAACTTGTGTTGTCTGAGTTAAAGAAAACAGCAACATCTGTAGGATGATTACTTCTAAGATGTTTAAATGCTTTTACATTGAGGAAATTCTGAATAGGTGTCAAATGAATCAATTATAAATACATTCTAATAAGCATCCATTCAAGAGAGTTAAATTAGGCAATATTTGCACTGGTTTCCGTGGATATTGGACTGGGTTTTACATAAGGACATACCAATAATAAATGTAAAGATACTTTTATTTTAATATATGAATTTTAAATTCAGGCACTGTTACAAAGCAACCCAGAATTGTATTTGCTGTGTATATGTGTATTTGTATTGTTGAGCTAGTGCTCAAGATCCCCCCCACCAAGACTTTGGGAATATTGCGTCTGTACAACAGGTAAGACACAAGAATTAGCAAAGTTTATGGATTCATCTGCTGAAGATTATAAAGCTTATCTATAGCATTATATTTAAGATACAATGCTTCAAAGAAGACCAAGTTTGTCTTTCTGTGTTGTTATTTTTACCACCTGTGTCAACTAATGACTGTGCATTTTCAAATGTTTCTTACCTTTGATATTGCTGTTTTCACAAGACAAGGAAAAATATTAGAGTGAATCAATACACACTGTATGTTACAAATACAGAGGGCTTTTGTTTTATGCAGTCTTTTCATCTCTAGGAGAAAAGCATTAATGTAGTAAACTATTTCAGCCAGGCTGGAGCATTTTTGTTCTGTTTCCAGCTGGGAAAACCTGAGTGTATGGATTCTTCCCATAGATATTGTCTCAAGTAATTCTCAAGTAGTAATTCACAGACCACTGGTGGTCCAGGGAGTACTTCCAGTGGCTTAGAAAGGAATTTTAATAGTGAAGCACTGCTACTTTTCAAACAGTGGTGTTTCTTACAGTTTGTAATATAGTCAGATATCTTGCTTTTTCTTATGCAGCATCTTATACTTGCAAATATGGATTTCAAGCATGCATACCATAACTAAACGAGGAAGAAGGAAAATATTAGGACTCTTTTTCCCCATCAGGGAAGTTGCTAACCTACTACATGATAATTTCAATGATAACAGAAAACACACGAATGAAGTAGTTTCCAGTCAGAGGACTGAAAATCTGAAATCTGGTGAATCCGTAAGTCCTCTGGACATGGAAGGTCTAAGTAAAGACAGAAATGCGCTCCCTTTCTCACTGATTTTAAGCTCTGATTCTGTTCCTCTCAGCATTCCTACAGAAGAGCTTTCTTAAGACAGGATAAAAATAATTTAATATGAGTAAGTTTTTAAGTATATAAATATATGTATCTTTGATATATATGGAAACAGTATTATGCAAATAGGTGACTTCACTAACAATAGGGATGAGTTAAGCAATTTTAGGCTAGTCTTGTTCACAAGGTAAGCACGCTCATAGTAGGAAAGATGTTTAGAATTCTTCTACCACAATAACTTAGACTCTTTTATTGGTAGAAGAATGCTGATTTAGCTCTGCTGCAGTACTTTTATCAGTAGATACAGAACAGGTACGATTTTTTCCCTGTTTTCACATGGGGGTTAATTGAGGCACAGTAGGTGACATGCCCATGGAATGAAAAGCTGGTCTGTGGAGATTCTATAGACAATAGTAAAAAAAGTAAATAATGTCGAATCTAAAATAGATATGTTGATCAAAGTAACTTCATGTATTTACTTCTGTCTTCTCTTCCTGTACTTTACTTACCTTGTGCTCAATAAACAACATTTTTGTGCTGTAATGTTAAGCTGGACTACTTTTGTATTATGTAATCTTTGTACAAGGACATGAAAATATTTACTTACTGGGCAATGCAAATCTGAACATGCATCTTAAAGATAACTTTAAGATTGCTTTTAGTTTTTGTTACCACAGGCTAACATAGGGAATGACATACTGTAGACTACAATTTTTTTAAGACTTACCAAAAGCCATGCTTCTGAAAAGCACCTGAGTTAAGATCTTTGCTTAAAATCGGCTTCTTGGTGCAATTGTTTAGTTTTTGTCCCATCATTCTCCTAATTAAAGCATCATCTGTGTTTGGAAACAACTGCTTTGTGATTCCTACAAAATAAAACAGATGACATATATGAGGCCTCCAAACCACGGAAACCACAGATGCGTGATCTAAAACACATTTATTGCATCTTTGACATTTCCAACTACTTCAGCTTCAGCTCTAGTTAATTTTCTGTCTTCACTCACTACTTCCCTGATCCTGCACACTCCAGCTCTGTTTTCCTCTGTGCCTGCCATATTGCTGTGCCTGTTCTTGGCATGCTCAAAGGGAACATCAGGGTCACAGGAGCTTCCTGCAATAAGTGATTTGTATATGATCTTCCTCCCTTCCTATGTTCTGTTCTTTATCAGACATTCCTATTTCTGTCCTCCATAGTTCTCACACCTCAGAATCTTGCAGTTTTTGTTCATTATTATTCATTTGCAATTCATGTCTCCTTCTCCACAAAATTCTCTTCTGTTTTTCCACCAATTGCCTGGCTAACTTTTTTGAAAGCAATATTAACAGAACTGAGCATCAGGACTGCAATTCCTGCTCCCCTCTTCTCCATTATATTTACTTCCGTTGGTCTGTTTTAATTTCACTTCATCTGGAAGTCTCATAACTTTCATCTTCTTCAAATAATCTGATCTACTACCTCATTTTCTACAGTCCTAGAATTCTTAGGCCTCTTTCTTATTTTTCTTCTTCTCTTGTATAATTCTCTTGTATTATTTTGACATTTTTCCATTTGAAATCAGCAGGGCTTTTGTTTCCCTTAATAAATTTCTTTGACTTCGCTATAGGTTCCCCTTTGCCACTGAACTCTTCTGCAGCAGCCTGTACTCTATGTTCTGATTATCATCTTCTCTGCTTTCCTTTTCAGTTTTGCCCAAACCATTCGCTGAATGCAACTTTAGAAAAGTTGCTAGTAGCTTCTCAACCAAGAAAATTTTTCTTCACGCTCAAGCTGTTTGGTCTCTGGTGCCTTAAATCCCTAGCTCTTTATTTCTTACAACTTTTTTTCTTTAACTTGCTGAATTTTCCTTCCATATTTTTCTCATCTGTCTGATCTTTGGCTATATCCCTTTCTCCTGATAGTGCACTGGCAGAGGGAGTGTACTCTTCTTAGCTGGCACTCAAGATGCAGGTGAAGTTACTAAAAACTTTATTTTATATTTTTGAATGTATCCAGTCGCCATTCTCTCAATGCATGCCTCTCCCCTTACCTTTATGATACTTCATTGTGAAACTGTCTCATCTTATCTTGTCTAAATATATTTTCACCATCTCACTGTGTCTTTCTTCTTGACTTCGGCACTTTTTCTCTAGCTAGGCTCCTCAGAAAAACATGTTTATGCAGCTACACCATCAAGACCCTATTAATAAATCCTGCAACTGATGGCCAAATTCAATAAAACTGGGCAAAGGGGTACAGAAACTGGAACTAAGTTGGGGAAGACTGAGGCAACGGCAATGGGGGAGGGATTCTGGTACAGAAAATGGGGCTATGTTGGTAAAGTATTAAGCTACAGGTGCGAATCCAAATAAAATCAGTGCTAACAAAATAACAGTTTTCTTTAAAGCTGCTACTTGCATCTGAAATGATTTTCTCTTTTCTGTGCACCAAACCTTTTCTACCTTAACCCTCAGCACAAAACCCATGTTCTTTGCTTCTCTGATCACTATTTGTCTACACTTTTCCTCTTGTTTTGGCTGAAGCACTGTTTAAAATGTCAGAATTTACAATCTTCACTAACTACAGAATAGAGCAGGCATGATTTAAAATTTGATCAAGTGTGCGCTCTCTTTGCCTCCCCTTTATCTGTTACCTTCGTGTTCCAGGTATGACAATTGTACATAATTCTTTCAAAGGCTAAAAAATGACAGTGTTACTGTGCCTTGGTAGTCACTGTTAAATGAAAACACAAAGTTTGCACAACAGAAATACTACTGTTTCGCATTTCACTAAGAGTGTTGTGATGGATGGGTTGAAAAAACGTGCAAAGAAGAAACTAAGAAACAGCACATAACCTGAGTAGACCAGCTGTAAATTTTACTGCCCCCCCCCAAAGAAAGCCCTCTGTCAATTCAGTGCCATATTGAGTAATGTTAACAAGTCATCACCTATGATTTCCTGAACTTCATTCTGATTCATAGCTGGTTTTGCTGCTTTATCCTTTGAAGAGGAGGACTTTGCACCTGTCAGGCTGTGCGTAGCCATGTATTCATGTGTATAAAGTGCTTGCATCAAGTCATTTATAAACTTTTGAGGTTTGCTCTTGTTACAAAGTGCAATCTGCCACTTTTCGATCTTGAACTGGAAAACAAAATTGGTCATAGACATAACTATTGAAGTTCTCTGGAAATATTATGCAGTATTTCTCTGAAATATCTTTTAAAGTGTATTTTTTTTTAACCGCAATTTCAAATGTAATCGCTGCAAACTGTGTCCTGCAAATCAGTGCCGAGCTTGCATGTCACTCAAAGTTTGGAACTATATGTGCAGGTTAACAGTTTTTTCAGAAGCAAGTATGGGGCAGATTAAGGACCCTGCTCATACTAGCAAACACTTCCGCAAGCAGTCCTTGCGCAGCAGTGGCAGCAGGACATGTTCAGACAGATCTAAATCCTTCTGCTTGCACTCCACGGAGGCTGGATGTGATCCAGGTCTGGCCTGGAATCTGTATAGCCTTGTAAGCATGGCACCGTGCCCAAGCTAATATTCCTGCCTCTGAGCAGGCATGCCCTAAGAACTGCAACATCTGGCCCTATGCTTTGGGAGAGATTTCTACCCACAGCAGTTGTACAACCAAATGTGCAAGTCTGAGCTACTTCTGTTTAGTGGTAAGGTTAGGTTGCTTTAAAAATGTGGTCTTTTTAATTCTTTGGGGATGGTCAGGTTTTGTGTACTGTAAGGTTTAGTCAAAGAATCATACCTTGAAAATTCTTAATAGATGTCTTTGTTTTTGTGAACCCCATGGCAACATGTGATTTCCACAGATTGGCATGACTCAGTGCACAAGAATGCTTATGTGAATTGTGAATGCGAGAGCTGGAATTATTCTTTTCATTAGATTTTTATATTTGTTCTGTACTGCCTCTGTGCCTGAGGCTTCTCACTTCTGTTCTTACAGAGAATATGGGAGCATCTTTCTTGAGTGCAAGATATGTATTTCTACTGACAGCTGGCCGGCGTTTGGAACAAGAGCAGAAAACACACCATTCTCCATTTTACTTATTAACACTTTCAACAGACTCTGCTGGTATTTTTCTTAGATAATCTCTGAAATGCTGTCATTCCACTTTGGTATCCAAAACATCAGGGTAGAACTTATTCCTGGATCTCAGTATCTTCTCCATGCATCCACATTCAGCCCTCAGTCACAGATGTGCAAAGCCACTGAAATAAAAGCAAGTTCAAGGATGTACTAGCATGCTGAATTATGTCTAGTGTGTCTCATGGAAAGGTTCTTCCGCACAAAAGGACTCATTAGTCACTTCATCAAGTGACTGAAGATAAAATGATTTTTACAGATACTTTTTATAGCTGTTATACAATCACAATAAAGCTTGTATTACATCAACTTTAATTTTTATGCTTGAAACTGCTTCTTAACTGACCTGTTTTTCAATCTGTTGCTCCTCATCTTCCACATTCAAAGTTATGGGTGAGTTGGAGTTACTATGCGTAGTTGCATAGGAATCTGCTAAAGAATTGTTAGACGCTTTCCAAACAGCATGTGAATGAAGGCTGGATGCAGATGTTGTCACGCCCCCTTTGAGCAGTGCTTCAGCCATCCCTACCAGTTCCTCAAAATGGGTGACTGCCTGCGGCAACACTGAAATTAAATAGAAAGTAATGGCTAAGAACGGTAATTGAAGCTTCCAGACTCTGACTATGGCAGCATGTATATTTTTTATAAATAAACTCCTGTCACACAAGCAAAAGAGTGAAAGTAGTCAGCAAAGATGCTTTAACATGTTTTTTTTTGGTTCTCAAAATGTTCCTGTCAGTCTGCTGCTCTCACCTGTGAAGTTCTGGCCTCTGTCTTTAGAATATGCTAGATCAGTTCTCCGCAAACTGCTAAGAGCAACTGTTAAGTTAGGTTATGCCCATCACGGCACTAAGATAGGTATTTTTCTTTTCTTCTTCTTTTTACTATCTCAAAATCTGACCAAGCCTTCAGAGATGCTGAATATGGGCCAAATAGTGATATGTTTGATTTTTCATTTGTTTCAAAGGAGCTACACCTTCCTATGCATAGACTATGTTTTCCCTTTATTAATTTATAGAGAATGTCTTTTAAATGGCCACTTCTCTGACTAACATTTCGTTTCAAAGGTAAGTTTTCATTGAGTCCATTAACAAAATCAATTGAGCGAGTAGAAAGGATGTGAGGGATAAAGAATCAGCATGATACAGAATCATTAACTTATTGGAAAACACTGCAAAAGATGCTCAAGATGAAAGGCGAACGGACTTAAATGTATAAAAAAAGTTGTTTGACGCTAACAAAGCTTGGAAAAATGGTATTCAGAGAGCTGGAGGAGAATAATTCAAACTAAGGTAAATGAAATATGGGATGGAATCAGGTGGGCAACGAAACTAATAAGCACTTAAAAAAAACAATAAAAAACCCAAGATGTAGCAGGCTGCCTCGGGAGTGCTGTGATGTAGCTGGCAAGGGAGGTAACATACCCTCTTTAATCATTGTTTGTTCATTAGTGTTTAGAAGTACTGGATTCAGTCTCTGGCTTGCCCCGGAATAAGGGTCACAGACAAGTAAGAGGGACTTCAGAGATGGTTGCTAAGTGATTAAGGATTCATTTATAAAAGAACAAAATGGTGGGAAAACTTTAGGAAAAGATTAAATTTGTTGTTTCTAGAAGTAACTGATGATTATCAATACTGAAGAATTAGCAAATAAATTAAAAATAAAAGCATTCCAAAATAAAGCCAGTTTTAGTAGATCAAGAATAACTCCTTAATAAATAAGGTTTAGTTGGACTGGTCAGTGGAGTATTCAAGTTTAGCCTGTGCTTACATACAGCAAACAGAAATGTTGTCTCGGGAATAACTGACAGAAGTTAGACAGATTTTTCTATTTTTAACTCCAAGATCACGTGGCCTCCATTTAAGATGTTTTTTGTCTAAGTGCTGCTGGAATTAAATGTTGTTATGTAACGAAGACTTTTGTGTTCATGATAGGCCTTGATCTTGTCAGGTGCTCGAGCATCCGTAATTCCCATTCAAATAGTCTTTTATAAATCAAGCTTTTCATAACTTTCAGGCTCTCTTCTTCATCACACCATTTCCCTTGACTTTACCTTGAAGCATCACCAGGGACTGCCTCAGGCGGCAGTTTTCTCTCATAGTGTCTGATAGTTTCCTCTTCAGACTTTTTATTTTGGCGCATAGTTCCACCTTGGATAGTTGAAATAAAGGCTCTTCATCATCACTGCTACTTTCACTGTACAAACAGTTGTTTCCTGAGTATGGTTCTCTCTGAAAAAAATAAAACGGTTTATGTAGAGCAACAATACAGAAAATTAAAGCATTACAACTAACATTAAAATATCTGCCTAAATCAGAATATTCTCTTTGTATACACAAAATATATCGACAGAATTGGTGTACGTTAATTAATAGCTGCTACAGAACATGGATATTACTGTTCATATTTAAATTCAAAATGAAACATCAGAATAACACTTAGCTGTTAGACATTTCTCTTTATGTTGTGCATTCACTGATTTTCTAAGATGGTATCTTTAAGAACCACAACTTTACCAAAACAAAAGTTTTACACCCCCCTAAACAAATACATCTCAGTTTCCGTGTGCTTAATAGGTTAAAATTACTCCAGGTTTACCTGTTTGTTAATTAAAGATGTTTCAAGTTGACTCAGGATGTTGGCAGGGGTGGATGCCTGTAATGATTTCTTCCTTTTTATACTCTTCATCATTTTCCCCTGTAAGCAAGAGCATAATAGTACCTTGGCATTCCTATAGAACCCTTCATCAGAGTATCTTGTGTTATACTATAAACTTTTATTCACTTTGCCCTTGACATTCTCTGTTAGTATTTTTGAAAAATATATTTGCAACCTTTTGTTAGTCTTGAGATCCATGTTTTATTTCCCCAAGTTTTGTCACTGCAGACCTCAGAACAATGCAAAGCTCAGAAAACCTGGTCCCTGCCCTTCTTGTGCACTGGTCAGATTTCCGTCTTATGGGAGAAGATGCAATGGAGCTACAGAGCACCCAAAGTCTTGAAAAACAATTTTTTTTTTTAAATAGCAAGGGAGAAAATCTATTGGCCTAAATGATTACTCCGACAGATTATTGTGCTGGGGCATCAGGTGAAGTTTGCCTTTATTCCTACCTTCAGTATATATATTTTGTGTTTTATACTGTGAACAATCAATGAAGAGACAGAGTGCACCCTCAGCAAGTTTGCTGATGATACTAAACTGGGGGGAGAGGCTGACACACCAGAAGGCTGTGCTGCCATTCCGAGGGACCTGGACAGGCTGGAGAGCTGGGCAGAGAGGAACCTCCTCAAGTTCAACAAAGGCAAGTGCAAGGTCCTGCACCTGGGGAGGAATAATCCCATGCACCAGTACAGGCTGGAGGTTGAC